TTATATCAGTTTATGTGTGTGTCAGTAAATGTTTCTGTGTATGTGTGTTAGTCTACGCATCTGTGCATGTGTGTCAGTGTTTGTGTGTGTCACCATATGCATCTGTATATGTGTGTCATTGCATGTATATGTATGTGTGTGTCAGTGTGTGTGTATGTCATTGTATGCATCTGTATGTGTGTATCAGTGCTTGTGTGTTTTGGTGTATGTATCAGTGCATGTGTGACAGTGTATGTATCTTTGCATGTGTGTCAGTTTGTGTATCTGTGTATAGGTGTCAGTGGTACTGTGCATGTGTGTCAGTGTTTGTCAGTGTCAATGTTGTATTTGTATATGTGGATGTGTGTGTGAATATTGCATGTATGTCTGTATGTGTCAATGTTACTGTGCATGCGTGTTAATCTGTGTGTATCTCTCTTAGTGCATATGTGTGTATATATGCCCATGTGACAGTGGATGTCTGTTTCTGTGTATTGCAGTGTGTCCCTGCATGTGTGTGTGTCAGTGCATATGTATTAGAGAATACACATTTGTATGTAATCGCTAATATTACAGATTTTACAAACATGCATTCAAACCCTAACACTGTACGCGAAACTGTCCTGCATTCAAACTCCAACACTACAAACAAACAGACACCCAGCATTCAAACACCTGCATTATACATACATTATGTATCTTTGCATGTGTGTCAGTTTGTTTATCTGTGTATAGGTGTCAGTGTTTGTGTGTCAGTGGTACTGTGCATGTGTGTCAGTGTTTGTCAGTGTCAATGTTCTATTTGTATATGTGGATGTGTGTATAGTATATTGTATAATAACACTATTATAGCCTAGTATAAAGTATAGTATGATTATTATAGCATAGTATAGTATGCTATTCTATGTACTACACTATAACAGTGATGCTATGTTATATACTATTCTATAATAGCCATACTATTCTATTGTACACAGTACTGGAGACCGTATCTTCAGAAGGATATTGATACCTTAGAGAGGGTTCAGAGAAGGGCTACTAAACTGGTTCATGGATTGCGGGATAAAACTTACCAGGAAAGGTTAAAGGATCTTAACATGTATAGCTTGGAGGAAAGACGAGACAGGGGGGATATGATAGAAACATTTAAATATATAAAGGAATCAACACAGTAAAGGAGGAGACTATATTTAAAAGAAGAAAAACTACCACAACAAGAGGACATAGTCTTAAATTAGAGGGACAAAGGTTTAAAAATAATATCAGGAAGTATTACTTTACTGAGAGGGTAGTGGATGCATGGAATAGCCTTCCAGCTGAAGTGGTAGAGGTTAACACAGTAAAGAAGTTTAAGCATGCGTGGGATAGGCATAAGGCTATCCTAACTATAAGATAAGGCCAGGGACTAATGAAAGTATTTAGAAAATTGGGCAGACTAGATGGGCCGAATGGTTCTTATCTGCCGTCACATTCTATGTTTCTATGTTTCTATTATATTCACAGTTACTTTATTAAAATACAACCATACAAGTATGGGTAAATAGTAGATCCACAGCTAGCAAGACATTATGGGATTTGTATGGTAGCTGAGGATATACCTATTGGCCACCTCTGCTTGAACGCAGGGTGGGGCCTAAACAGATTCTTGCACCAGGGCCCTGAGGTTTCTAGTTATGCCCATGCTATTATTTTCATACTATACTATGCTATAACAGATGTACTATACTATGTACTATGCTATAATAGTCATACTATTTACTATTCTATAATAGTGACACCGTACTATAAACTATGCTATAATAGTCATGCTATTCTATGTACTACACTATAACAGTGATGCTATGTTATATATTATTCTATAATAGCCATACTATTCTATACGCTATACTATAATAGTTGTGCTATAATATATATTATACTATAATAGACATACTATGCTAAATGCAATGCTATTATAATTATACTATACTATATAAGATGCTATAATAGTCATACTATACAATATACTATACTGTTATAGTCATACTATACCACATACTATACTATGCTATAATAATCATACTATACTTTATACTAGGCTATAATAGTGTTATTATACAATATACTATACACTATGCTATAAGTGATACTATGCTATACTATATACTATGCTATTATTTTCATACTATACAATATTATATACTATGCTATAAGTGATACTGTGCTATACACTGTTATTATAATCATATAATACAATATACTATGCTATTAATTTCATACTATACAATATGCTATATTATATACTATGCTATAAGTGATATTATACAATATAATATGCTATTATTGTTATACTATACAATATACTATACTATATACTATGCTATTATTTCATACTATACAATATTCTATACTTTATACTATGCTATTATTGTCATAATATACAATACACTATACTATATACTATGCTATAAGTGATACTATGTTATACACTATGTTATTATAATCATATAATACTAAATACTATACAATATATGATACTATTATTTCATACTATACAAAATGCTATACTATATACTATGCTATAAGTGATACTATGCTATACACTATGTTATTATAATCATATAATACTAAATACTATACAATATATGATACTATTATTTCATACTATACAAAATGCTATACTATATACTATGCTATAAGTGATACTATGCTATACACTATGTTATTATAATCATATAATACTAAATACTATACAATATATGATACTATTATTTCATACTATACAAAATGCTATACTATATACTATGCTATAAGTGATACTATGCTATACACTATGTTATTATAATCATATAATACAATATACTATACTATATACTATGCTATTATTTTCATACTATACAATACACTATACTATACTATATACTATGCTAGAAATGATACTATGCTATAAAAATCATACCATACTATATGCCATGCTATAATAGTCATACTGTGCTATAATAGTTGTACTATATTATATACTATGTGTGACGGCAGTGATTTGTATTACCGTCTAGTATTCCCTTTTTCCCAATAGTAGAATAACAACAATAATCCACAGGGTAAAATAACACTGGTATCGCCAAATAATCCACACATGAGCCAAAGCTTAATGCTGGAACAAGACTGATTTACTGGAAGCAACAGGCATTCAATTTATACAGTAACAGACTCCTCCTCTGGGCCAGGCTAGATAATTGAGTTTCAGCAACATACTAAACTCAATTATGTGCTGGCCAGAAACATTAACATTTTTCAACATTTTTGGAAAAATACTTTCTACATGACATAGGAATATAAAAACATATATGACATAGTAACATATCCAAATTGCAGGAAAATCAGTTCGGTGGTTTCTGTGTCGCATCGTGTAGAAGTTTGACCGGCTCGCCATGTGGTTGTATCCGAGTTAGAGTTCCATGAAATTGGTAGCAAGAGCCGGTCTCTGTTCGTGCAGAATTACACGAAAACCACCACAGTTATACCGTATCTGGTTACATATGAATGCTCCCCTCATTCGGTTGATTGAAACTCCCGAACGCCAGTCTGATACTGAGTGGAAATAGGTCAGACGGGACTTCCATGGAGACCGGGTGTTCGTGTGATTGCCATGCCGTGCCCAATTCTCAATAACTCCTGCCGGTATTTCCGTGGGACTACCAGCGGGCGTTTTTGCCGGGGCCCGGGTGCGTTGACCTGTGTCTCGGTGAGCCTGTATAAGCGGCCATCCTCCCAGACTAACTGCTCCTTCTCTAACCCCCAAATGTCCTCCCTTAGCCTTTTCCCTGTACTTTCTGAGTGAGGGGTCTCCTGCTACTTCCCTCCCAAAGTCCTCCGGGGTATCCCAGGGGAGGGGCTCTACAGTCAGGGGCAGGCCCGGACTGGCCATCGGGCACACCGGGCAAATGCCCGGTGGGCCGCGGTGGCCATGGGCCGAGGCCGGCAGGGGAGGTCCCAGGATCTCCCCTGCCGGTCTATGCAGGCACTCTCCTAGCGCCGGCCCCGCTGTTTGTCACGACGGGCCGGTGGGGAGATCAAGGATCTCCCTGACCGGCCCACATGCGGCCGCCGGCGGGGAGGGAGGGAGACAGCCAGGCTGGAGAGAGGACCCGGCGGAGCTCTGACTTGCAGCTCCGCCGGGTTCCTCTCGCGAGATCTGGCGCGTTGCCATGGCAACGACCGGATCTCGCGAGAGTGAACTCTAGCCTCACAGGCTAGAGTTCACTCACCCACGAGGACCACCAGGGAACACCGCCACCCTGCCTGCCAGCGTGCCGGTCCCCCCCTCCCTTCCAGGCTAAAGGTAAGAAGGGAGGGGGGGGAATAATGCCTGTTTTTTTTATTTTATTTTTTTTTATTTACCCCCCCCTACACACACACACAATAACATTTATACAGCACTCTCACACCCATCACACACAGCACTCTCACACCCATCACACTCACAGCACTCTCTCACACAGCACTTTCACACACAGCACTCTCACAGAGCACTCTCACACACACACAGCACTCTCTCACACAGCACTCTCACACCCATCACACACAGCACTCTCACAGAGCACTCTCACACACTCACAGCACTCTCTCACACAGCACTTTCACACACAGCACTCTCTCACAGAGCACTCACACACACACAGCACTCTCTCACACAGCACTCTCACACCCATCACACACAGCACTCTCACAGAGCACTCTCACACACTCACAGCACTCTCTCACACAGCACTCTCACACCCATCACACTCACAGCACTTTCACACAGAGCACTCTCACACACACACAGCATTCTCTCACACAGCACTCTCACACCCATCACACTCACAGCACTCTCACAGAGCACTCTCACACACACACAGCACTCTCTCACACAGCACTCTCACACCCATCTCACACAGGGCACTCTCACACGGCACTCTCACACCCATCACTCACACCGCACCCTCACACACACACATACTGCACCACACACATACACAATACTTCCAAATATATATATGTGTGTGTGTGTGTGTGTGTGTGTGTATATATATATATATATATACACACACACACACACACACAACACTCTTAAAGGACCACTCTAGCCACCCAGAACACTTCAGCTTAATGAAGTGGTCTTGGTGCTAGGTCCTTCTAGGGTTAACCCTAGAGAAACTGCTATGTTTATCAATGGGTTAAGCCTTCCCCCAAAGCCTCTAGCAGCTGTCTCATTGACCGCCGCTAGAGGCATTATAAATGCTTTCCTATGCGACCGGCTGAATGCGAGCGCAGCTCTTGCTGCGCGTGCGCATTCAGCCGACGGGGCGGATCGGAGGAGGAGAGCTCCCCGCCCGGCGCTGGAAAAAGGTAAGTTTTAACCCTTTTCCAGAGCCGGGCGGGAGGGGGTCCCTGAGCCACATATGCATCACATTACACCACAAACACAACACGACTAAAACCGACCTTATTACACAATACCACACTGCGACCAGCTCACTCTACACACACGCAATACCACAAGCAGGCTCCAAACACATGCACAATACTCTTTCCTGGCCTTTTGTCTCCTGGTATCCATTTATAGAGACACCAGAGACAAGTTGCAAGGAAAGACAGTGCAAGCATGTTATTAAATTTGCTTGCACTGTGCAGAACAAATACAGGATTTTTTTCTCATGCTAGAGCTCTTCAGCAGAGCTCTGCGCATGGTCTGCCCTGGAAGAGCATTGAACCAACATGCTCACTTTGAGAGGAGGCGTGTTTGTCATTGGTGATGACAAAACACACCTCCTATGCCCCGCCCCCTTTTTAGTGGGCCGCTGTGTTAAAAAAATGCCCGGGCCGAATTTTTCTCCCAGCCCGGCCCTGGTCAGGGGTAGGGTAGGGTGGCTTACCTGGGTCTCAGTAGGAGGTGGATGGCTCTCGGCAGCACGACTTTGAGCTCTGGTGGTTACCGCTTGAGCCTCGTGAGGGGATGCTGGTACAAACGCAGATGTTAGAGGACCAATATCATTGCCCAACACGACTTCCGAGGGTAATTCCTTCATCAGACCCACTTGGACATTGCCAGCTCCAGCACCCCAGTCTAGATGCACTTGTGCGGTAGGAATCCGATACACTGCCCCCCTTGCCACTCTCACAGCTATAGATTTCCCCGGTCTTTCAGAGTTATCAATAAGATGCCGTTAAACTAGGGTGATTGTAGCGCCACTGTCCCTTAGGCCCCGGGCAGTCTTCCCGTTGACCATTACCAACTGACAATGGTGTTTCCGATTGTCAGTTATGGTAGATTGGACTAGGAGAGCTTCATATAGGGTGCCCAGGGGTTCCTCCCGACTCAGCTCCTTGGCGTCCCAGGTGGAGGGTACCAGGTAGTCCACACAATGGGCTGCGGCCTGGGGTTGAGGGAATCCAGGGCGAGTCCAATTGGACCTGGGGGCTTCCAATGGGCAATTGTTGCGTAGATGTCCCAGTTGGTTACATCGGAAGCAGCGGGGCTCGTTGCTAGCCTGACGTTGGTAGTCTCACCTTGGTGTATAGTGCTCCATGCCATCACAGGGCCCTTAGGATAGCACTACCATAAAACCTACAGCCGACTCACAATCCAAAGCATGGGAAGCCTGTTATAAAGGCCTTTCTCATCTAGCCATTGGTGTGTAGTGCTCCATGCCATCACAGGGTTATTCTGTCACATTTCTTTGTAGTTCAGGTCTTTTTACAAATAATTTATTGCAGATTTTGGATTTAAATTAAAGTCAAGTAAAGTAGAGGTTTTTAAATTATTGGGCCCCCTCACGTTGGGTGTGGAGAGTAGGCAGGGATTTTTTTAAGGGGGGCTTACCATACTGAAGAGCACCCTAATTTTGGGGATGGACTATTGGTATGCCCATTTCCCAATGAGATTTAAACCCTCCACCTGATAGCCAGTGATGAGTGGGGCTGAAGGGGGACAATTCCATGTTTATGTTTTATAGTCTCTACACACAATTCCATGGGTGGTCAAACAGCAGGAGGTCACTACCAGGTTTATCCATTCTTGACAATTTCCTGACCCAGTCCCTATGGGATGGAGGTTTTATAGCAATCGGCTAGCTGCCACATAACTTAAATCTGCTACTGCTGAGGGTTTTTTGTTTTAAAATATCGGAACACTGGCTGCTTGATTGATTATTATTGTTTGTTTGTAAAAAGCAAGTGAACAATTGTGTGTGATTGTGCATCCTATTGAATACATTTGGTCCAGATTGTCTGTAAAATATGTGCTTTTCAAATCCTTTACACTTAAAGTAGGATTTGGATGTGAAAAGCAGTGATGTGAAATTGACATTGAATTCTTGCGACCAAGTGGTGCAGATTCAGTAAAGATGACTGAATTCTGACCGGATTTGGCTCCTAAATATAAGGTTTACCAGTCCAGTCAGAATTCTGCCGTTTTCGCTGATTTTTGTTGGAGTTTAGTAGATGGCCTAAAAATTTTAATTCCCAGCAACACTTCAGTGAACAATCCTGAAACCAAATCAGGATTAGGAAGCTCACTACAGCTAACTACTCTGGCAGTTCCTGTTTAAAGAAGGGAACCTATCACTCCTGGGAGCTAATTCGCCATCATACCATTTGAATGATCCAGTTTGGGAGAGGACCATGGAGAAGGCACAATTATCCCAGTGAGCAGATCCTCTCCAGGAAAGCCAGATCAGTTTAGTCGTGATGTGTGCCGTGCAGGAGGATGTTTTACATTTGATGCACAGATTTAAAGATGGAATAGAATCTCTGGACTGCAGCTTGTTATTTCTGGCTTTAGAAGGTAAAAAAAAAATAAAAAAATAGCTGCTGGGCATGTGACAGCACTCACAAACCTTTAATGTCAGACATAATGATCATGGTAAATTGGCGCTCGTTACCACGAAATGAGAGCTCATTGAATCTTCTCTTTTTTCCATAGAGGAGGGAATAGAGCAGGATCACTAATCACTTTACTCTCCTCGTGTTCAGCCATCTCAGGAAACCTGCTTTGATTAGGTAATTGTTATATTTAGATAGTTAACAATTATAAATAAATATCTTTTCATGTTTTATTGTTTTTTTTATTCTACAGAAACATACCATCCTTACACAACAATTACATCTATAAAATAAATTATATTATACAGCTTTTTATATAGATTTCAATTATAATCCAGAGTTCCCTTTAAGATGCATATTGTTTGATATACTGACATCTTTTCAGTAGCTAACAAGATTCTTACTGTTAATTTTATAATAATCTGCCTGCCGTACAGAGACTAGGCAGTTATTAGTTTATTTTATGAAGGGTACTGTTCACATCTTGAATAGTAGGCACATTAACTCACTTAGATATCTTGTGGGCTGTATATAACAGGGATGTCAGGGTAGTACAGAGCATTGCTAGGTTTACAGAAACACTGGGAACTTGAGCCAAAAGATAAACTCGATGACCCCCTACCCTATAACAGAGTGGGGCGGATGTCATGATATATGCTCGGTCTTGCTTTGTTATTTTCCCTCCCATGAACAGCGAGCTTCGATGCTCTTCGTGATCTCTGGAAACAAGCACATGCTGTGCTATAGCAGCAACTATAACCTCCTCCCAATAGTTACACCCATAACTAGCCTGACAGAGCACTATACTACAGATCTTCCTTTTCATAATACTGTATATAGCTGCTTTGAGAAGAAACTGCCTGGTGTAAAATTTAAAATAATAATAATAAATATTCACCTGCCATTTCCACCACCTGTAGAGATCTGGGGCTAAAAAGCGCTCCATCAGGGGATTCTGCCCTCCAAGCCTCCCCTTATTAATACCGATGGGGTGGAACCATCTATACGTTAGGTAGGGTTTCCATGTCAGCACAGCTACACACTATCCCATGTCTGGTGAAGAGCTGTGATAGACTTCCACGTCACGAAGCAAGGTCAATTTTTGTAACGACAGTAATATAATTGTCGTGGTTTAATCACTAACTTGGAAATCGACTTTAGAAATGCAACATTTCAGTCAAAATAGCAAAGCTGGAAAAGTGACTGATTTGTAGAATGTTAGTAGTTCAGATATTCTGACCTGACAATTTTAATTTCTTTCTGAATTCTCAACAATATCTTGCTTCGTGAATAATTCTGTAAATTTTCTAGGAAGAAAACAAGATTTGTAACAGTGTGAATTTCACAGAAACTGGCACTAAGACAGAATGACGGATTTCATTAGGATAGGGGAATACATGACTGCTTTCCATTAATATTCCGAAAATCCAATCCCCAATAAACTCCCATCAATTTCACGGTGGAGTATATTTCATTTTGAGTGTCTGGTGTGGTCTCAGAAGCGTATGTAGTGAGGTCTCTAAGACCTGCATGGCTATCTGCCCTTTCTGCTTCGAGAGAAATGTGGACAATCTCAAAAAGAAAATGACTGTCAAAGAATCCGAAGGGGAACTCACAATATAAAATGCATTGTATGAGCAGGTTTGATGTCATACGGGAATGAGCAACAATTAATTGTATCAATCATGCCACCTTAATCTCCTTTAATCCTTCTATTGGATTCTAAGGGTTAAAGCTTTTGATCCTGTGTCTTATGAAATATTCAGGATAACCGCTTCTTTATCCCAAGGATTCTTGCATTATCGCATTTGCTCCTTCAAGCCCTTATTGCTTTTAATTCTCCCCCCATCAACCACAGAGCATGTATCCATCAGTTGCACTTTGTTGTGGAGCTTTCACATATTCAGCTAATTTATAGAGCTAGGTTGTAAATATTAGAGACAAAAGCCATAGATATTTATTCACTAAACGGGGAATTGTGAAAACATTAACTAGAAGAATTACAACTTTTAGGACAAAAGCTGTAAAAATAGCAGAGTTGGAGAAATATTTCAGTTGCAATTTCTGTGTTGGTTGAGTACAAATTCTAGTTTATTTAAAAAAAAAAAAAATCACTTCCCTTACTATTGCAACCCTTCATCCTAAGTGAGAGCTATATACAGTGTATATATGGACAATAAAGCAAGCCCTGAGCTGTATACAGTGTATAAATGGGTATTACAGCAAGCCCTGAGCTGTATAC